GGGGTTAAGTCTCAGCACTATGAAGCTATCACCAGCCACTGCAGCATGAGTTTGCTCCCTGGCCAGGTCGTTAACCCACATGGCTCAGCAGACATCTCCTGTCTCGCCTGCTGCTCCCCTTAGCAGTGTATTTCAGTCAATTGTCCTGTTCTGTGCTCCATCCTGACTCTGGTGACTCTTCTCACCTGCCCCCTGCACCCGGCCCTGCACCTCTGGCCTACACCCCAGCTCTTGTATGCATAAATAAATAAATCTTAAAAAGAAATTATTATGATGTACTGATTTAAAAATCACATGAGCTTAAATCATCACAGGATGAGATCATTATTGTTTAATCTATTGACTGGTGAATAGCTACATGTACCAGCTTAAGGTCACAGTATATTATCAGTATTTTCCAAGCAAGCAAAGGCTATGAGAGAGCCAATAAGAAAGCAAGCTTCCATCCTAGTGTCCTCTGAGGTCTAGAATATACATTAACCATAATGACATTGGAGGTCAAATATTTACCCAATTCTGTTGAAAGAAGTCAGTGTTATACTTAGTCCCACTGATGTGACAATGTGTGGACTTTAAAGTTTTTTTTTAAGAATTTTTTGAAAGAATTGAAACTACATCTAACCTCTTCTGATCCTATTTTTTTCCAATCGTTATATTAAGGAGAATTTTCCTGGTGCATTCTGAGCACTTGATTTCTTTCAGCTTACATTTTTTTCTAAAGTTCAACTGGGGACCATTAGTGAGTTCAAACTGAGACTAAGTATAGGTTGTTTCTGAATTTTTTAAAAAGTTATTTCATACTATTGTTAACTCTCATAATAAAATATAGTGACATCTGGATTCATTTCTTTCCTTGGTCTGATTCCCAGTGTGTTTTTTGTCCACCCAAGTCAGACCTTATTTTATTTAAAAAAAAAAAATTGTATTCATGCACTTGACCTAGCTTTTTGTTACATATACCTCATAATTACAGGCAGCACACTTCTTGCAATTAATTAATTTTTCCCCAAAAGAAATTATAACAGGAGAGGATAAAGGAGTCTCTTTTGTCTTCAAATGTTAAAATCATATTTTGCCATGTCACATACAAATTTCAAGTCAATCAGGCTTTTTTAATTTTAATTTTAGCTCATTTTAATTGAAATATAATTGTCATAATATTGTTTGCAACATGTTGGTTTGATATGTTCGTATATTATAATATGATTACAGTATAGTGTTAGCTAACACCTCCATTACATTACACAATTATCATTTCTTTCTTGTGGTAGGAACATTTAAGATCTAGTCTCTTAGCAACTTTGAAGTTCATAATATCCGGTATTGTTGACTATAATCATTATGCTGTGCATTAGATCTCCAAAATTTCCATATGAACAAATATCAGATTTGTTTCCTCAAATAACAACCCCCCAATTCTCCCATCCCCACCCCAAAGCCACTGATAAGTAACATTTTCTACAAGTTTGGTTTTCTCAGCTTCTACATATACATGATATCATATGATTATTATCTTTCTCCCTTCAAACCAGTCAGACTTTTGGCTCATTGGAGTGGTTTCAAAACCAAAAGGTGGGTGGTGCATATTAAAATAGGCCAAAAGCAACTAGGGTCAAGAAAATCAGGAGACTAATCCTGATCCTCCTCTGCTATTTCAAAAGCAAAGTTAAAACTGACTCAAAGGAAACTATTATGTGAACCAATTCCAAGAAGATGAGTATTCAATCCAATTCAACTGCTGTCAGAAATGGTAGATGGTATGCAAGTAGTAGTCAACACAAATCAGTCTTCAAGAAGAACATGAAAGGGATGATGTAAGGTCAAAAGCATTTGTGGCAAAGTACCTTTATTCTTCCAGGATTTTTTTGTGTTTTTCTAAATTGTGTTGAGTTTGTAGTTACTAGGTGCCTTCTAGACTTTAGAATCAGTAAAATATTGTAATCAGTGATGTAATTAAGCCATGTGTTTTCATTAATGAGTAGAGATATTTAAAAACTAGTTAATACTCCTTTCGTGAAGAATTTCTTGGTGAGAAAAAAGTATTTTAAAATCTTTTTGTTTGTTTACTAAGTTTAACTTTGTGGGATATAACAACTAGATACAAAATGAAAAGACATGGAGTTGAGCCCAATTTTTGCATTTCACTTATAGGAGAATGCTGGCAATTTAGCATCTCTCTAATTGGGTACTGGTTCATTTGCCACAAGACAAAGTTCTTAGAGGGCTTTAGCTATTCACAAACAAATTAATTGGAGTTGTTTTAGGCTGAATCTCTCACAGTTTGTTTGGTTTTTTGTTGTTTTGTTTTGTTTTTTTTGGCAAGTTCCACATGTGGCCTTTCGCTGTCTATTACAAAATAATTTTGTTCCCCACATAATTCTTAAGTTCCCTAGTATATAATTTCACCCATCAATAAGCTTTCAGAATCTCTCCAGCTATAATATTTCCATGTATTTCTGAAAACATGCTCCTTTGACATGTAATGTTTTTGTGAAAACGTGCCTGGGAGACTGTTCAAATGCTGTGGTGTTTGTGATTGCTCTGAGGATACATTTCAGGGTTATAGATGTTACTTGTTAATGTGGTGGATTACAAATGTGAGCTTTGCAATCAGACCTGGATTCAAATCTCACGTCCACTTCTCAGCACCTGTGTGATCTATGAGATTTTACTCAACCTTTCCATACCTCAGTTTCCTCATCTGTAAAATAGGGATGATAATAACAACCTCATGGGGTCACTGTAGAAATTTAAGAAGATAATGTATGGAAGCAACTTTGAAGAGTGTCAGCATAAACACTCAATAAATGTGACCTGCTGTTGCAAATTTGGTTCACATAACTTCCTTCAAGAAAGAAATCTAAAGAAGAAGAAATCAAAAAAAACATCCCTTTTATTATCAAAACAAAAAAAAATCAAATACTTGGGAATAAATCTAACAAAAGAGGTAAAGGACCTATACAAAGAAAACTATAAAACACTGTTAAAAGAAACAGAAAAAGACACAAAGAAATGGAAAGACATCCCCTGCTCATGGATTGGAAGAATAAACATTATTAAAATGGCCATCCTACCAAAAGCAATATACAGATTCAATGCTATTCCAATCAAAATTTCAATGTCATTCTTCAAAGAAATAGAACAATTATTGATGAAATTCATATGGAATCACCAAAAACCCCGAATAGCCAAAGCTCTCCTGAAAAAAAAGAAGGGAATGGAGGCATCACACTCCCAAACTTCAAACTACACTACAAAACCATAATCATCAAAACTGCATGGTATTCAAACAAGAACAGACACACAGGCCAATGGAATCCAATAGAAAATCCAGAACTAAATCCATAGATTTATGGTCAACTAATCTTTGACAAAGGAGCAAAGAATATGCATTGGAGCAAAGAAAGTTTGTTCAATAAATGGTGCTGGGAAAACTGGGTCGCTACATGCAAAAGAATGAAGCTTGACTACTACCTAACACCATGCACAAAAACCAACTCAAAATGGATTAAAGAACTAGACATAAGACCTGAAACCATAAAATACATAGAAGGAAATATAGGCAAAACACTACATGATATGCACATCAAAGACATCTTTATAGACACATCACCCCAAGCAGTGATAGTGAAGGCAAAGATAAACAGCTGGGACTACATCAAATTAAAGAGCTTCTGCACAGCAAAAGAGACAATAACAAAAACAAAGAGAAACCCCACTGACTGGGAGAACATTTTTGCACACAACACTAATGATAAAGGACTGATCACAAAAATCTACAAAGAGCTGATGAGACTCAACAACAACAAAGAAAATAATCCAGTCAAAATGGGCAGAAGAGCTAAAAAGAAACTTCTCTGAAGAGGAAATGCAAATGGCCAACAGGCATATGAAAAAATGTTCAACATCACTTGTAATCAGGGAAATGCAAATCAAAACTACAATGAGATACCATCTTACACCAGTGAGAATGGCACATATTAAAAAAACTAGCAACAACAAATGTTGGCGAGGTTGTGGAGAAAAAGGAACTCTTCTGCACTGTTGGTGGGAGTGCAAACTGGTCCAACCGCTATGGAGAGCTGTGTGGAGATTTCTTGACCTACTAAACATAGAGCTTCCATATGATCCAGCAATTCCACTCCTAGGTATTTACCCAAAGGACACAGAAACATCAATTCCAAAGAGTACCTGCACCCCTATGTTTATAGCAGCACTATTTACAATAGCTAAGCTTTGGAAACAACCCAAATGCCCAAAAATAGATGACTGGATCAAGAAGATGTGGTACATATACACCATGGAATATTACTCAGCATTCAAAAAAGATAAACACATGCAATTTGCAGTAACATGGATGGCGCTGGAAGGGATCATGCTCAGCGAAATAAGCCAGAAAGAAAAAGAAAAATACCGGATGGTCTCACTCTAGCAGGATCTAGAAAACTTAAATAAGGGACCAGGAAAAAGAATAACTATAAGAAAGAAAATATCAAAATCAACAAATCACTATGAACCAGAGACACTCTATGGGGAGAGGGGGGCAGGGAAAGGAGGGCTTGGGGTCAAAATAAGGGGGTTGCAATTGTATGGGGAATATAAAAATAAATTTTAAATTAAAAAAATATATAATGCATCTTAACAACACAGTTTTCATTTAAGAAGATAACTGTAGAGATTCAAGTGCAAAGGATGAGTTGTTATATGGGTGTAAATTTCAGAAAAGACTTCAGGATTGGATGCAGTTGTATTTTAATATATCTAAGAAACCACAACTTTTAAGATGTTTATAATTCATGGGTCACTGAGAAAGAAAAAGTCTATGAAATGTGAAATTTTCATCTATTGTAAGAATCATCCCTCTATATGATACATTAAAAAGTGAAAATAAAGTTTGTCTTATAAATGAAAAAAAAAAAAAAAAAGAATGTCCTCTTTTAACATCGGTTTAAAAATACATCACCAGTTCTCCTCAGAAACAGTTTGTCCACATCACTTACAACATACTGCTGACCACTTGTTCACCTACAAATTGATCTCCACTTATTCAATGTACTTATACAATATCCAGTCCACATGTGTTTATTAATGGCTTATTTAATACTTTTTGCTGGGGATGTTGCACCTGGGAAAAAAAGATAATTCTCAGTAAGATGATTATGTCATGTATTCTTTTCAAGAGTTCATAATTTCACAGAAAAGACAGGTATTTTTCAAAATTACAATTAAGTGTAAAACAGATAGGGAATGACAGGTGGAGGAGTCTTTTCAAAGGAGATCATTTGAAGTCTGAGTAACATTTTGTCAGGCAGAAAAGATGGAGGCTGAGTGCCAGGCAAAAGTATCAGGAAAATCAAGTTATTGATCAAAAGTTGACTAATGATCATAAAATCAAAACAAGAGTAAGAAAATAAATGGCAGGAGGAGCACTCTTGTATGGAACGATTAAGGAGGCACTGAGTCCTCTCCAGCTGACACAGAGAACAGCTCTGAAACCATATGGTGCCTGCTCCCCAGAGCACACCCCTCTCTCTTGAAGATCACTCAGCTTTGCCGTTCTGATGTCCTTTTTCCATGTGGGCCACATATACTTTCAGAGAATATTACTTCTTTTCTTTCAAATATATATTGTTAACTAAAAAAATAACTTGCCTATAAATCTAAACCACCATACCCGTATGACTTTAACAAAGAAACAAGGATGAAACCCATCCTCCACTACCTGCCCCCATTTTAACTCTTCGGCATTAACTCCATATTCTGTCCTTGTAATGGTCCAGAGGGGACCGAATGCCAAGTGCCATTGGTATTTACACAACACTCACTTTCCCCTCCCTCATTTAATCTTCCCAACAGCCTTATGAAGAGTCGATATCGCTCTTATTCTCATTGTACCCCTGCAGTAACAAAAAACTTAAGGAAGTAAGTTATCCACAGCCACACATCCACTCATGACAAGATGTGGACTTGACACCAAGTCATCAACTTCACAGACCAGTGCTGAGGACAGTGGGCCCCAGCACCTGAGCTTGAACAGGAATCAGGCAAAAAGGACACATTCTCTGGTCTGCTGTGAAGTGAAAACAAAACCCCCAAAAAAAACCAAAGTGACATTTTACATAGCGATGGGTTGATGAAAGAATGTTTTTTGTAGGATTATGTCTTACTTTTTAAAAATATCATATTGTCCTTTATTTTATAAGATGATGAGATTGGAGAGAATCGTTGCTTTCTTCACAATGCCCTACTTACAAAAAAAAAAAAAGTTGGCATCTGATGTCAGTTTTTTAATTTAAAAATTTTGCTTTCATTCCCAGAAACTCCAAATCTAAAAGTTACTGTGGTGAGAAAATATCTTTCTTTCTGTGAGGCACATGTTTATCTTCTGGGGTCCACATGACGAGCCATTGTCATCTTAAGGTTTCCATTTTTCATTGTCTGATTTTTAAGAGCTACCACCTCTCTTCCCCAAACTTGGGCCCATTTTTTAAAAGCATTTATATTTATAGGAGGAGAGTAAATGAACTTTAATAGCTTTCTTCTGCTGTAGTTTCTACAGAGTGGAAAGCCCAGTCTTATCAAAAGTGGCTGAAGACATTCCACATCAGAGATGTCAAGTCATAACAATGTTGGGGGCAGCCTACTTGGTTGGCTCTCAGTTCTTCTATAGAAAAGACATTCTTAAAAGCTGTTTGCAATATCCTACATTAATTTCCTCTGGTCAGGCTTCTCGTACAAAGGGGTCTTATAAATGGATTCAATGTGGTTGGGTGCAGAAGCACAGTAACCCCTCTGTCAGACACTCTTCAGGGTGGACGCCACAAACAGGGGCTTCCTTCATAAGGGTTCCCAGCAAATAGCTGACCAGAAGTTTTGTGACCAGTAATAACCTCCTTGAAAATAAACCACTTATACCATCTGCTTAACAGTGCCCTACAAATTATACCAGGAATGTGTGGCTTTTTTACCCTGGCAAATGTCTTCCAACTTGACAAAAGAACAAACAGAGAAGGGAGGTGGGGTTTGGGCAGCACTGGTCCCTCCCACCACCATTCACCACTGCTGTGTGGCCTCTGCCTGTCTGCAGCAGGAATAAATGTAAGATGAGGAAAAGCAGAATTCCAGAATTTCCAAGACCAAAATAATCAAGGTTGGATGGGATTGGGTTAGAATAAGCCAGTTAAAAAGCTGGGATGAGCCCTCAGAACCACAGTGGCTAGAGAGGGTGTTGGTTGTGGTCCAGGCTTTGATTGCTGAGCCAAATGAGACATGGATGCAAGAGCAGAAGAAGGATTGAAATACTATTTTTTAATATCTCACAAGTATGTATTAAAAATAACGATTTGGGCCAGAGGCCAAAACGGTTTTTAACATCTTGCCTCAAAAATGTAGATTTAGGTAAATCCACGGGGGGAATTATATTTGCAGAGCAATAGTTATTTAACCGAACCCGCATCCATTGCGATGTGGTGTAACTCAAATTCTGCTGAGAACTCAAGAGGAACTTGTCATAGCAATTTCCTCAACAACTCACCCAGCCAAGCAATGTGGACTGGTAGATGCGGGACTATCATCATTCGCATTTTCCCTCTCAGTAGGAGAGCTCTGGAGAGGAGACATATGTTTCCACCAAATACACCTCAAAGAAGAAAGTTTCTTGGCAAGGATGAGGCAGGTATGTGAAGAAAGGGACAAGAAATTACACCATGTAGAGTCCAGAGATATCTCCCTGGCAGGATCACAGTTTCTGCAAAGCAAATTCCAGATGTTTTCATTCATATGTGGGATATAGAGAAACAAAACAGAGGGTCAGACAAAACCAAACCAAAACAACCCTAGAAATCTGACAGCAGAAGTGAGGTTACCACATGGGGAGGGAGAAGGAGGGGAGCCAAGTGTGGAAAGTACCCTGTGGATGATGGCGGAGGACTTGGGGTGCTGCGGTGGTGGGCATGGTGAGATAACACACATCTGAGGAGGTGTGAACCTACCCCTCTGAATCACTATGTGATGTTTACCACAATAAAAAATAATAAATAAGAAAAAAAATTTCAAATATTTCCAAACTCTTGCTTCGGCCGCCCCTAAGATCTTAACAAGAAACAATTTTGTCTGATACTTATTCTAAAGTGCCATGTCTTAAATCAGAGTTACATGGTTTCATTTGGCTTTTCCTTAGTTAAGAAACCCAAGCAATAGCCAAGCTAATGTACAAAACTTAATTGAGCCTTTGTTTTAAATAAGTTTTTACTCTTCAGAATGAAGCCAAACATGACAAACTTACAGTGGAAAGAAAAAAAAAATTCTCAAAAAGAAAGCTCTATGTTCAGGAAATGAAACTATTTAAATGAAAAATCCTGGTACTTACACCAAATAGACCATATTATATTGAGTGCCATGCAAGCCAAGATTTTTCTCAAGGGCAAACAAGTTCATTTGAAATTGGAGCCTTCAGTTCCTCACCTAGTCAGCAATCTCCCAGAAGGTCAGTCTCCATTATGCCCTGAAGTACCAGGAAAAGGATGTTCCACTACTGGCCACATTGTCTCTGAGATAAGAGTTTTTAGAAGCGTCCATTACACTTTTGTGTATGTGTGTGAATGAGGTGTGCATGGAGTGGGGGGAGTTGTGTAGTGTGTGTGGGGGTGTGCATGTGTGGTGTGTGTGTAATGTATGCACGTGGGGGTGTGTATTGTGTGTATCATGCATGTGGTATGTGTTCTGTGTGTGGTGTAGTGTGAATATTACATGTGGGAGGCTGTTGGGTGTAAGTACTGCATTTGTGGGGGGGGCCGTGTTGTGTGTATTGTGTGGTGTGTGGGAGATGTATGTGTTCAGGGTGTGGGGTGTGGGTGGTGTGTGTCTGTGTGTGCAGGGTGGGTGTATGTGCATGGGTGGTGTGTGTGGGTGGTGTGAGGAGAGCACACCGCGTTCAGGAGCAGGCAGAGAGCACTGCAGGTCCTGCCCCTGCAGGGCAGAGCGAGCAGCACGTCCCCACTGTGGACAGGCTTCTGGTTGGGCGAGCAGGAGGCTGCTGGCCTGTCTTCGACCGCCCCCTCCTTCAGACAAGAAAGCAGAAAGAAACTGGAGGTGACACTGAACCAGGTGACAGGTTTACTTAGCATAGAAGATGGAAGGCCAACTTCCCCAAATCCCACATGATTTGTTATTCTTCCTTTCAGAAATCATTCAAAGCAAAGTTGGGAACAAACGATTAGAAAATATAAATGTCAGGATGTTGAGAAATAGGTATGTTGTAGGGAAAAGAATAATGTGAGGCAGAGGCATTTGAATACTTGTGTCGGCTAGAGCCAGCTCAGATTCTTCAGTCTGGCTCTTGGTCCGCAAATGGGGGTGTCTGGCTGAGATTTTGGCACATTTCAGCTTCTCTATCATACTGCAGGTATTTATTTAGGTAATTGGCCTTCGATATTCTTCAGATAGTCAAAAAAAAAAAAAGCTTCACTTCATCAAGTTTGAGAAGCAGGACTCTGGTAAGACTCGGAGTCTTAGAAACCTAATTGGGTTTCCCTCAGACATAGCTTGTGTCTTTCCCTTTTCCTTTTAGTCTCTGCTCCCCTAACTCCCACCCTTTTTGCTCTTTAACTTATTCAGACACAGTTTCCTTAGGATCTACAATTTAAATCTAGAAATTAACTACCCTTGAACATTTCTCACGGTAACATTCCTCCAATTCCAACAATCATAGAATAAACTCCAACTTGAGCAAAGTACCCCGTTATGTGCTTTGGAGAATACAAAAGCAAGCCAGCCCTATGTACTTAGTTATTTATTGCTGCGAAACAAATTACTGCAAAATTTAGCAACTTAAAGCTTAAACATTTATTATCTCATAAATTTCCGTTGCTCCAGAATAGAAAAAGATTCAGCTGGGTGGTTCTAGCTCAGGCTCACTCACAGGGCTGCCAAGTGAGGTGCCAGCAGGAGCTACAGTCACATCAAGGCTCAAGTTGAGGGAGGATTCCTGTGCTCAGGGCTGCCTGGACACGTCTCTGGTTGGTCTCTCATCCCCCCAGGATCTCCCTAGGACAGCTTGGACTTGTTTATGTGGTGGCTGGGCTTTGGGGGTGTGGGGGTGAGATGGAGGGAAGGAGGGAAAGGACACATTTTTATACTATTCTCTTGGACTTGACATGCCATCATTTCTGCCATAAAGTCAGTCAATGGGTCTGACCCACACTCACAGGGAGAAGAATATGCAGGCTGTGAATACCAACAGGTGGGGTCATAGGGGGCTGTAGGGGAAATGAGCTAAAAATCAGGCTTTTACCCCCTCCTGCCATTAGCCTCTACAGCTAGCACCTGTGGCCTTGCACGCCGCTGGTGATGATGGACACCTGGGCCACAGAGCACGGGCATGCGCATGTGGAGATGTAGACACCCGTGCTGAGGGGCAAACGATAAAAGGGCAACGTCACTCGGTGGCTATGGGGGTTAGAGTTGCCGTCTCCCAGTCGTTCTGCCTCCTTGATTTAATATTGAAAATCTGTAAAATCTACCGAAGTCTCCAAAATTATCTTTTCTTCTGCAAGAACCGACAGTGAATCTCTCCAGACTGGGGTGATTGCAAAACAGGGGCTACTTACTGCACCCCGGCAAGGTCCACACAAAGACTGATATGTACAGCTGGAGCAGATGCAAGGACCTTCTTCAACTGGTAGAAAACAAATGCTCCAGGATGATAGGGAAAAGAGAACTTAATTTTATTTATAAAGTGTGGAGAGGGCATCTAGATAAAAGCAAAATTTGGGCTAGGTCTCAAATATGCCTCCAAGAAGAAACTAGTCAGGACAGCTTGAGCAAGTGGTGTGGGATTTGAGCGAGCATCAGTATCACCTGGAGGGCTTGTTTACCCTCAGATGTCTGGATGGGCCGCACTTCGAGTTTCTAATTTAGTAGAAGGGAAGACTCAGTGCTGGGGGAGGATGTTTTGAGAATTTGCATTTTAGGTGATATTAATGCCTTTGGCCCAGGGACCACACTTTGAGAAATGCTGGCTTGAGAAGTAGAGCATATTTGGAAAATAATAGATCTTTTTGTCAATTTGGAGTTACTCAATTGATTCCAAGATTCTCTCCGAATCAGTGGAAATGAAAGACATCAGCCTGTATTTAATGAATCCCAAAACTATCAACTTTTAGTACTGGTAGAGATACAGAGACTCCAAACCCATCATTTTACAAGTGATGAAAGTGATGGTCAAGGCCAAACCCAAACACTGAAAGTTTTCTGTAAAATCAGATGGATTTCTGTGGTTCCTTCAATCAAGGGCGCCTGAGAAAACTCCCCTAGAGTCCTTTTTCTTAGGAGTTTGAGTGCTTTCTTTTCAGAATGAACTAAACAAGCTCGTAATGGGCTCTCAGTAGAATACCAGCCCTCTATAAAATGCACACGCCTATACTTTGGCAGGGAGGCAGGCTAAAAGAACTCTTAGAACACCTCTGGGTCCATTATACAGGTTTTCCTGTGCAAATGAATTATGTGATCCCTCCTTGTGAAAGGCCTTCCTCACACCTCTGCCATCTCTTAGCCTCCATTGTCCTTTTTCTTTCACAAGCCCTTAGGTATATCTATCTGGCTGCCTGCACTGCTCTGCTAACTTGGGTTTGGGGGCAGTTTCTTTTTAATGTCTAAATAACTAATAAAATCTAAGTGCAAACTGGGATGAATTCATCTTGATTCCTGAAATATGCTTTCTTTAGAAGGAGGGCAGGAAAATCCCGCAGTTTATTCTTTGCCATGTGTGCACAAAACTAGCTGGGTGCCTTTGTTCTTGTCTCTGAGCTTTTTCACCTGTTAGTTGATTGTGCTTAAGGAAACAGTATGAAGAATGAAGACATTTAAAAGAAGCCCAAGGGAATCTCACCTGCACATTCAGATGCAAGAATTGTTTTTACCATTATTACTCTACCCCAACATCCTTTACTCTCACTCTTCCCCCAAGTTACTGCCCTCCACCCCACCCTGACATAGATATTCTTGCTTCAAAAACAAACAAAGATTCTAAAGGCAACCGAACTGTAACCCCCTTTCAACTTGTGGTTTCTGCGTAAACTTACTTAAGCCCAGGTGTCTCTTTGTGGCACTCACCACCCACACTTCCCCCAAGGGTAGGACCAGACCCCAAACTTTGAACCAGAAGGTAAAGTACAGGTGGACAGAGGTTAGCCGAAACCTCACTGCCTTTTCCCTCCTACTCACATCTGGTTTTCACATAGCACCCTTCGCTTGGTTCGAGAGGATACCCACGGGGGCCAATGTCTCATGGAAAAGCTGAGGGGTAAGGATGGCCAACTGGAAATACATTTTATTCATTGCCTTTACGGATTCAACCACAGATTGTTTCCTCTTCTCCCACTGAGCACCACTTAATAAGCTGCATCAGGTGTTCACTAGAAGCAGTGAGCCACAGATGGAAAGAAAACACGTCGTGTGACTTCGCACAGGGTCAGAACCGCCTTGCTCGCTTCCAGGTCTTTGGACTTGGCCAAGTTATTTAGCACCTCCAAGTCACAGGTTCTTCATTTGGCCCTTGGTTTACTCACCTGACTCACCTGATACTATCCCTGGAGGAAAGCAGGTGTAAAAACGGTGGTCATCACAGACTGGGCAGCAAATGGAACATGTGGTCTTGCTCCCAAAGAAATCTCACAACCTTCATATACATAGTTACCAGCTTGATTTTGTTTTTGCTTTGGCCCAGAACCACTTCTGT